GCGTGGTATTACTCCAGTTCAGCCGGCCCAGATATGTCGGAGCATGGCTGAAAGAACAATCAGAACAATGACAAGAGAATATCATGACATTCCACAAATATTTTTATGTTTATTATACCAAAAAATCACAAACAAACCAAAGTTAGTATGACATAAATGAAAATACCATCGTTCAAAAAGCAATTTCTGTAAAAGGACCTCGAATATTTCCCAACAGTAATGCATCCTTTTGCTATTGGAACAACAATAGGCATAATTCACAGGCAGGCCGCTCGCTCAGTACAGAGCTCCAACGAAATCACTGAACCAAATTGCAAATGAAGCGCCAGTCTAACTCTAGTAATGCCGTATATCAGATCTTATACTCGTAGTTGTGTTGTGTGTTTGCTCATCTAAGTGATTAATTTTCAATTTAAAGTTCAATTTTGCACGGGAAAAACACAAGATTTGTCTGTAATTTGCATTTTATTTGTTAATCTGTTTGTTAAATTTTAAATATCATTCTGAAAAATTGTTAAAACGAATTATTTATACTTTGAATAATAAAACCTATTTGTTCTAACTTTGAGAGAGTCTTATAGCTATCCGTTTTATTTGTACTTCGATCTCAGCAGAAATAAAAAAACTTAATATCTGCTCAAATAGTCTACCAAACATATAGGGTCAAGTTCACAAATTACAACTATACGACCAATAATTATACAACTGTTAACAATACCAATGCGTGGATATTACACCAAGGGCCTTTTGTACCCGACCCAACCAGCGAAGCAAACCCAAAATAACCGTTCATTGTTTTTAGAATGTATTTCCATTTCGAATAGAAAGTCGGATTAGGCTCATTGTTGAACTACCATGATATTTACAAATTTTAGCAAAGGACTAAAGCTTAAGTGTGCGGGTAGTATAGATGCCAACATTGGTCGATTATTGGTAGTACGATTGCCCGACCTATACAAATCCCACTCTATTTACTTTCCGAACGTCTGTGAGATTCGGACATTTGATATTCACAACGGAATCGTACAACGTTTCCGTTGAGTTATTTCAAGAATTCGTTTCACATTTCAAAAATATATAGGAATGCACCAAATAAATAAAAGTTTGACGTACAACTGTAAAATATCCTTTTGATTTGAGTATTCAATTTTGCTTTTTATAGTCCAAATTATTTCTCAGCTGACCGTATTTAATCATATTTTATTGCTAGATTACCGCCATCAGTTGTATATTCTGGGCGACTTGCTTCTCGCTGTTAATTTTATTTTAATTGACGATGAATATTTTAGATATTAAACGCGATAAGTTAACAGGGTTGCCGGTGACATTTTGTGTGTCCGATATAGAACGAGAAAGGGTTGCGGCATATATGTATTGGCGACATTTAACCAGACGACATTTGTTGTTACAATTGACCCATTAGGTTCACCACGGATAGACAAGAACAAATAAAAGCCAGAATAAATTTCACTGAACTTTATATTGCAATTTATTTAATGACTTAATGGTATGAAGTCAGATAATTAAAGAAGCAAAAATACTCAGCGATTTGCAAGGCTGAAAACATTACGGCCACTGTGCACGTTACATTTTGAGGATTTTGACTAACCATATATCAAGATACCGGAGCAGTCTTTAATACTATTTTCTTTTACTATTCTATTAGAAATTATACTTAACTTACTTAATTTACAACTTACTTAATTACAATTCTATAGTATTAGTACTGTCCGTGTAGTGGCGGATTAAGAATACGGAATGTCACTACCCCAATTCATCCCGTGGGTGTCGTAAGAACCGACTAAGGGCGCAAAACAACGCAGGACACTAGCACTGCAAAAAGACGGAAAACTTGACACAAACCCTATACCAACCCGCCTGGCCAGCGTGGTATAGTAGGCCAAAACCTTCTTTCTAAAGAGAGGCCTATGTCCAGCAGTGGACTATTAAAGGCTGTTAATGTGATGATAGTATTAGTTGATAATTCACCTAAATTATTAGGTGGATCTCCTCTGCTTGCATCTCTTTCCTTTAACACCCACTGTTTCTATTCCGATCGACTAAACAGAGTTTAATGTACAGAGTTTAGTGTAATGTTTAATAATACATTAAAAAGACTTTAGAAAACTTCGGTTATGAGGTTATTCTACCAAATTAATTATTTATTCAATCCTTTATGACTATTAAATATTTATAAACAATGTAAGTAATTATTGAGGAACATCAAAGCGATATCATAAACGGATCGAATGCACCATGTAATCCGGTTCCTGTCGGCCATGTACACGCGAATAATTCAACAGTACGATCGCCATTCTATGAGCAAACAGATAGTCCTCACTTCCGACACATGTTTCCGTGGACGACACAAGTAACTGGTCACGTAGAATATTGACGCCTCGAGCTATCCATTCTCCGGGACAATACCTACGGTGCTAAGGGAGACATTTTTATACGGTAACTTACGTATATCATTCTAAACATTTGGTGAAAAATAACGTGTATTTTCCGCTTTTGAAATTCAGTGAACAGGGCGGTTGTAAGCATGTGATCTACTGTTAGTGTGCAACAAAACATTTCATACTGACAGGACACAAAGCGAACTTTTACAGAAACCTTACATTATTTAAACACAATCACGCACTTAAGAACTTTTAATTTTATCATACCCTATCCCTGTAAGGCATCTTCATTTTTACTAAATCTTATCTATTTTACAAAATTTACAATCGAGTGCATGAGACACAGAAATTGACAAAATTGGTATTATAACGGTAAAGGTAGTAAGCTAGCTAAAAGACTCATGCCTTTGTCGTCGAGGATTAAGAACTCTTTACATACTATCACTGTTAATAATATTTAATGATTGTAATAAAAGCTAAAAAAAAACTTTAATCGAAAAAAGTAATTACTTTCTATTCAAATTGATATATATATATATATTCTCTTTTCTAATTTCAAAACCATATTGATAATTTTTTTTACTCAAAAATGTTGTTTACGCATACCTAAACACTGCTTTGTTTGCTGTAGCTGTCTGTGTTTTATTGATAAAGTCTTAAATTATTACACTATACTTATAGCAATGAAATTGAATACGAGAATGATGCTACGAAGTGTTATCTTGCAAGAACCAATACCTTAATTTTAATTATGTTTATCAATATTTATTAGCGTCTAAACGTCTGATCAATTTAGAATTTCTAATAAATATCATCTTGGTTTCAAGTATGAATTTGAAATAAAATTTTATGAATAATATTGGCTATATTAAAAACTAACAATGCTATAGTTACTTTCATAAAAGAAAAAAGTACAAAGTATTTTAAAAGAAGAAAGAGTATTTCAAACACAATGAATACACATGCATGGTATGTGTCTAAGTACGGCACCGCAACACTCAACTTACCAAATCTATTCTCTGTTTTCTATTCTGTTAGCTATTAGTATCTATTGCATATAGTACGGTATCTATTACATTAAATCATAGTATCATAGTATCTATTACATTAAATAAGAATTTAAAATCATATATACAGTGAGTGATATTTTTTTTGCTTTTTCCTATTTCTGACTCTCTTCTCTCCCAGAATCCCATTTCCTTACGTTCGTTGTTTGTGATCCCCGGGGTTAAAAATACGCGAAACTTCACAGTTTCACTTAGTAACATTCTTTTCAAGAGTTTCATAAAGAAAAAACTACCTCAACTGCTAGTTATGGCAAAGTTAACATTTAGTATGGATTTACATTCGTTTATAATAAGCACAACCAATAATTATCGACCCATAGGTAAAATCTCATCTCCATTCAATAGGTTTGAAGTCGCGTAGTACTAATCATTTAATAAACATAGCATCCACATATATGTATACTGAAATCATTATAATTGGAATTTGTTAGAAAGAATTTAAATTATTCCATTTGCTCAAATCAATTAGCCTAGTTATCTAGTTAACTTTAATCCAGATTACATTTGATTAGGACTGACGAGATAATGCTTATTTTTCTAATAATTGAGATATATTTCTTTATGAAAATGTAATTTGAAACAAGATCGCCAAAGGCTGTGCCAAGTTATGTCACACCCTAACGGGCTAAAGTTTGATTTTACGACGAGCTCCGCTGACACCAGACCTAATACTGAGAGAGGCTGTTTATTGCTCTATCAAACCCAAAGCTGATACTGTCCACTATTTCTGGTGTTACCCTGTAGTTGTAGAAAATTGAAGAGAAGTGAAGCAAAAAGTACATCAAAAAAATTCTTTAATAAAGTGATCTCGTGTACACAGACTTGATAGACTGACATACGTATTCGACTAGCGTCCTTGTTAACCATTGCAAATAGGATATTAGAGAATTTTTGTTTTAGGGTAATTTTATATTGTACCTGTGCTTAATGAAATAATAGTATCACCTTATAAATAAATAATTATTTTAACTAGTATTATCAAGCCTTAAACGGTTCTTTCGAAAAGAAGGTAGAGCGACAATGATAGTAGTGCCTTGTTTTTCTATCCATTTCAATAAAACTAACAAAAAATTATACATATTGTACAGCGGTTAATTAATTAATACATATTTCGGATCAATACACAGTTATATCTTCGCTACCGTCACATGGGCGTAAGATGAAAAGTTTATTCACCGTTATACAATAGTTCTTGTAGTAAACAAACATATTTTGACGAGGGTGTCAAGTTTGTATATAAGATTCAATAACTTATGACATTGCGAGCCTGTCTTGGTCTGGTCTTGTCTTAGCAATATTTTTATGAAAATATATTTTTAGTGGTCGGTACATTCCATATAGCGTACAACTGTCCGGAAGACGGAAAACCGATAGCTGGATAAAAATCTACACGAATATTCGGACTTTAATAAATCTACTACTTAAAATATTTTTAAGCAAATAATACAAAAAGTCATACCTAATTGAAAGGCAAGCGGCCAAGCACGTAATACGTCTAGTTAATCAAATGCATAATACATATCCCTTCAAAATGTTATGGCTAGGCCTCGCCCGCTTCAAATTGGGAAGTCACTTATTTACTTTACAAGGTTTTGTTGAACTTGAAATGTTACTTCGAAAGCTTTTTCATTGTAATTTTAATTTTCTTAATTCCACATTTACATTATTTTATATTGTAATTATAATTTATAGTTAATGTATTTCTACAGATATACGACAATTTCATTTTTACAATTTGTTTACACACATTTACAAAACATACATATTATGTAAATCAATTTACAAAGGGATCTAAATTGTAAAAATTTTTGAGTTTTTGAAGTGTACACAAATATATTTAGATATTATTATTTAGACAACGCCTGAGGTGCTTTTCGAGCTCAAACTCAAACTCAAAATATCTTTTTAATTCAAAATATTTAATTTACACACAGTAGCAACAACATCTGTTTTGTCAAATAGTTAGCAAAATAAATATACTAAAATTTTACTTATACAAAATCTATGATATGCCTGTGCCGATCCACAACCGCCCGTTTCCAAGGGGTTAAGCCTTCTGAGAAGAAAGAGCAAAAAAACTCATGGCCACTCTTTTGCAATTTACAGATAGATACAATGGCATCATTAAATGTACCAGAACATTGTTTTAATAAGTGCCAGTACGTCCGTTATTAGGGCCAAAATAAAGGTAAAAAGACAATAAAGAGAAAACGAAGATTAAGAAAAAGGATCAAATAAAAGAGAAAGCGAAATGAAATATAAAAAATAGAAAATAATAATAATAAACACCCTAGCCCACATCACATTTCCACTTAAGAAATAGCCTGCGTTAAATTAATCCCAAGCATTTTTGTCTTCTATGTAATTCACAATCGAGTAATAGACTTCCTGACATAATTTACTTTTTATTGCGGATTTAAATTTCTTAATACTTAAGTCTTTAATGCTATTTGGAATTCTATTCGAAACGACTTGTTTATCTTTTGGAGCTCTAGGGTACAAGTAGGTACTAAAAGTTTCTGTTTTTGGTATTTATAGAATATACTTCTTGTTTTTACCAATATCTATCAATAAAATATTTTTACACTATTAAGTAATTAGTAGTATCCCACGCATTTTTACGATAAAATAATTTCCATTTTAACTTAAAGTAATTTTTATTAAAATTAAATAAAATTATTTTCGTCCACTTACAAAAGCGTATTTTTTTAGTTTTTTAAACTATAATTTATTTTATTATTTATTTTTCGTGACACAGTTGTGCCTCATTTGTCATCAATGCAACCACAATGTGCCACAGGGGAGTGTGGCAGTGTGCAGCTAGTATTTTCATAAAATTTAACATGTATTATTTATCCTGAAATTTTCGAAGTGTACTACCACTCATAGATGCCTACGATTTACGGAAGTATTTACAGAAGCTTTTTGTTTCAGCTTTAGGTCTAGAGCCGGACTTCCTATACCCTCTGGAGAACGTGACCATCGCTCAAGGTCGTGACGCGATGTTCACCTGCGTGGTCAATAACCTTGGTGGTTATAGGGTGAGTGGCGACTCCGCCACGGCCAGGGTGTGTATCAAACTGACTCATTACAGCTAGCCATAGAGGAGCACCGTCACAGCACTTGTAACATGAGATCTATAATTTATACTTGGAACATACTTTTATAGTATGAACTCTAGTATTCTAAATTGAAATACATTTAAAAAAATATTCTTTTAACCATATTTACGAATTAATAAAAAAAAAGTACTCTATTAATTTCAAACATTATGGTTGCTAACCTTTACTTGATAAGAAATATGGACTGTTAATAAAAACATTTTTATTGCAGTCGTCTATTCTGATATATTCATATATTATAACAAAACTGACAAGCTTTTTTGTTTGTTTAAATGCGCTAATCTTTGGAACCATTAGTCAGATTTAATCAGAATAATTGTTTTTGTGTTAGATATAATACTTATTAAAGATGGTTATAAGATGTGCAATGTAACGCCATGACCCTGAGGAGGGCTTCGCTCAAAAAGTAAATTTTATTTTTTAGAACTTTGATAATCACAAGTTCTTCAGTATTTATGTCAAAAATGTAATGCAATAATAATATTTATTATTAAATAAATATATGAAATGAAAATGCCAAACAAGAATATTACAAAAAATTATAGATCTCAACATATAGACTTGCACCACTTTCACACTTCTTAGCACACTACCTTCAATGCATTATCTTCAGCACTCTTCCAAACTCACCAGCACTATTCTATAGATCCTCTCTCTATCTTAAAATAGAGTAACACCACTATTGTACAAATACTTTATATATATATAAGTTTGTCCACAATAGTTGTAGCATTAGCACACTATGCACTTAGGACCTGCAAAGAGTGTCCAATCCGATAATTTACGTATTTACCATCGTTAAAGTTGCCTTTGATTTGTATTTCAAAAAAAATTAGTGATCGTAGATTAATATTAGAAGACGATTATTAAATTCTACATATAGTAAACGTAAAAAACTAACGCATTAGACACTCTAAAGAGAGCGCTTTCGGTACACATACTTACATTACTATTTAATACTATAAATATTCCTAATCTAAAAAGCATTATGCCATGTTCAGAAGATTTAATAAAATGGTACCGAATATTGCTCATACCAGTTCCGTAAACAGTTTTGGGTCTTTCTCAAAAAAGTGACGCTATTGGATTAAAGTTTAAAGTTAAGAATATTTCTTAAGGGGTTTCTTTATCTAGGGCCGTTTGGATTTCGCTCAGCTACTCCAACATCTCTTCTCCTAAGATTATGACGATCGGGAATTCAAACTCACGTCCATTTATCCTGGTTTTATTCTCATGTTCTAAATTTATCAATCTTTCTTGTGAAACAGGTTGTAACCAGTCTCGAGAACAAGAATATAAGAATATCTAAATGTTAGGGACTAATGTAAAAGGCGACTAAGGGAGCGAACTACGCAGGACAACAGCACTGCCGAGAAGAAAGAAAACTTGGCACAAACCCTATATCAACCTGTCTGGCCAGCGTGGCATAGCCGGCCAAAACCTCATTTCTAAGGAGAGGCCTATGTCCAGCAGTGGTGTATTAAAGGCTGTTGATGATGATGATGAAATGTTAGGATTAAAGTGGTTCAATAGTTGTTTAAATTTTGTATTGAAGATCAGTAACGTCACACTCCTGATTCATGTTCTAGGAGTTAAACTCTGATTTATAAAGATATTAGAAGCTCAGTAGATCTTTCAGAATAGAATTCTGCACATAGGAACTTAGTCACTACTAATTTTATGGTACCCAAAAGATTTTTTGTTATTCAGCTGCTCGAGAGGTATTTTTATATGCACTATTTATTTTACTTTAACGATATATTTCAAAGAGTAGTTGTTACAAAATTTGGCTACATTGTTTAAATGTAATTAAAAATAACTGACCCGAATACAAGTTTTCTCACAAGTGGTTTATCAGATACTACTTAGTGATAAAATTTCTTTTGAGAAAATTTTAACAAAAGTAACTCCAAAATAAGTATATAGTATATATAAGGAATGCAGTAGAGAAAAGTCAGATTTATTAAATAGGTACAGATTTTAACGATGCAAAATATTTTTTAGCGTGGGTGTGACCAGTCGTATTTAAGGGCAGCAACAAAAAAAAAAACTAATGTTACAATTTGATTTTACTTCAAATAAATTTTACTTTAATTTTATCACTGGTCACCCTCATTGTAAAAAGTGCAATTAAGTACAATATTATGGTACCCACACAGCATTAAAAATCGATAATTTTCTCTGAAAACTGGTCACCGCGTTACAGTGCCCTTTTTGAGAATGACCCCTTTACACTTGCACATAAACCTAAAATCCAAGACCTTAAAACACTTTTTTTTAGGAAGTTAAAAGTTTTATTGTAATGTTAACACGTTCTTGGGTTTTAAATACTTATGCACCTGTCCTTTATTTTGGGAGAAATTATGAAGCATGCATACACCTATTTTAAGTCACTTTTACGTTTTTTTTATAAAAATGCACCGCATTGCACATACAGCACTTTATCCTTGGTCAATCAAGATTGAAACAAAAACCGACATCTTCTATGACAAGACTACTTAGCTCATGGCATTTACGTTGCAAAACAGTCACTTTAGGAAATTAAAATAAAGCCGGCACAAACCCCCTCGGTCCCCGTTCAATCATTTCGAGAGGCGGTGGTCTCAAACTGTCCCGGGAGTTAATCTAGTACACTATCATTATAACCTACGATACTTTATCGTATTCGATACAATGTGGCTTAAATACGCGTGTGATAGTAAATTTTGCGAATTAAAAATTTTGACTGAATCATTTCAAGTAACTCTAAACCACTTCCTTTGCAGTTTCATTGCATGTAATCCAATTTTCAATAGAAAATGTGAGTCAGCTACTTTTTAAAGTACTTTGATAAAAGCAACCACCATATCTTTCAGCGATTAAAGCTGTACCTTTTTGGTTTGAATTTTGTTTCAAGGAACGGAAAAATCCAAGCTCTTAAAGAAAAATTATTATCAATTCTTTTGACTAGTGTGCTATCTAAGTTATCAAGGGTTTGAGTACTAAGTGCGGATGTACTATTTAAGAAAGCACTTTGATAATAATACGCCTGAGATGAGATATTGCTGCATATTTTATGTTTAATAATTGGTATACTAAAATAATTCCAATAACTGATTCCAATAATTTCATTCTGAAAGCTTAACTATTGCCCGATACAATAAATGCATGCTACAAATAACGAGATCTAGCAATAAAACCGTAGATAAATACTTGTTCGCGAATCTTTCCCTTACGAGAAAGAAGATTCGATAATAGTCTCTCTGGGGCCATTCGCTCAGGTCACTAGATTTCCACGCAATATCGACTTCTCTGTATTACAAACATATTTGCTTCCCAATGTCAATTGAGTAAGTAATTACTCAAGACTAATTACTTCTCCACGAGTGTATCTACTGTTACTCCCAGGTGAATATACAAATGGAAATCATATCTACGGATTAGTTATGTCCAAATTCTATGTTAAGAATAAAAACAAAAGGTGAAATTTTAATCTAGAATACATTTTTACTTTAATGTTTTTTTTTAAAGAATACTACACAATATGATACCGCAAAATAATTGTTCTTAATACGATAAAAACACATAACAGCATTCATAAGCTAAAATAATAATATGCCCAAAATCATATCACACGATACAATCATGACATAACACACAAAATAATCATAATATTTTGAACACAACCTCGATATGCACCGCTGGTATGGATGAGTTTAAAGTTCTGGTAACTATACTTAATTTCATATTTACTTATTTATTTTATTGTGTGTTATTATCAGAGCAATTTTTGAAGACTTTAAAGTCTGAAATTGCGATGCTTAACAGCCCTGCAATCCTATTCCTGCTCGTTTGAATAATACATGCAAAGCACAAGCAAAAAGAAGCACGTAACAGGAATGTAAGGCTGTTTTCTAAAACATTAAGGCACAAAGTGCTTTAATGTCCTACTTACACTACTTGACTTACCTATTGTAGTCTTATAAGCACTTAATTTAGTAATGATATAGATGCACAAGCACTATGAATAATGTAGACAACTAACTTTTAAATTGCACCTCTATTAGTGCACCTCTTCTTGCACACTACCTATTCATAGTATTATATTTAAAGAAAATAAACAGTAACTTAAAATAGTTTCTATAAAAATAATAAATTTTAATAAATATCTTATTTCAGAAATGATTCACATTATGTACACCCGATGAATGCATTGTATTTAAGTATTTGTGTAAATCCAAAACAGAAATATAAAAAAAACATAATGTAAAGAATTATTTACAATAATAAAGTTATAATACCGAGGCCGCGCGTAGCCTTACACAAGTATAAACGTCGTATTTCTGTTGGAGTTTTTTTGTTAGGCGCTATGCAGGAAATTAGCTCCTATTGCGATGTCGACGCTTTTGGTAAAGCGGGTAAAACGAGGGCGTTTTCAGTGCGCCCGCAGCCCAGCTCATAGCGGCGACCAGACGAAAATGTAATTAAAAATTCCGAGAGCATTTTGCGCGGCGCTCACAACAAGATAGTGTTGCCGGCTCGAGGATTGTTGTCATGAACGCCTCTTGGGAAGCATTTGCTTGTAATTAGACTTGTTTTCTAAAAGTCTCCATCGTTTAAAACAAATCATCGTACACGGGTTATAACTGTATTAGATGTACCATGCTTTATCATGCTTTTCGACATTAATTCTAAATTACCAACTAACATTGTATTTTTCTTCATGCACTCTTTGGACGTACCATCTTCACCGATGATTCGTGGGATAGGTCGCATGGATCAAAGCAGACACGAAAGCAATTCTGGCCATACACGAGCACGTGATAACGAACAACCAGCGGCTGACTGTCACACACAATGATTACAATACATGGACACTCAACATAAGAGGTGTTAAACGAGAAGACAGAGGACAATATATGTGCCAAGTTAATACTGATCCTATGAAAATGCAGGTACTGCAATCTTGTAATTTCAGACATCAGCAGTTAGGAACGATAAGAATGGCTTAAAAATGTATTTGTTTTAAAAGAACTTAGAATGAAAGGAAATTTTATTGCTTTTTAGTAGTGTCCCATTTTGTTGACTTGGTTCTATGTATTTTTGAATGTGAGCAATCCAAGCTGAAGGCACACACGATTTTTTAATACACATTCCTTGCATTCAATTTTGTTTTAAGTCAATTTCAAGTCATTTTCCATTGCAGACGGCATTTTTGGAAGTAGTTATCCCTCCAGATATAATATACGAAGAAACATCTGGGGATATGATGGTGCCAGAAGGTGGATCAGCAAAGCTGGTTTGCAAGGCGAGAGGATATCCTCCGCCTAAGATTGTATGGCGGAGAGAAGACGGGGGTGACATTATTTCAAGAGGAGGGCCACAGGGAAAAACTAAAGGTAACGAAATATAGTTTTCAATAATAACTGTTATTATTATTTCGTAAAAAAAATCACGTGTGTATCATTAAACAAAAGTCAATACTAAACAATAGTCAATATTACCATAACCCGCAGTAAATTTATTTTTCACATTCTAATTTTAGGGGAGAGGGGGAATCACTTGTGGTAGTTAAGTTGCAGGTGCCCATGGGCAGCTGTCACTTATCATCAGGTGGCCTGACCAATCGTCATTTTAAGACAAAGCAAAAAACAGATTAAACCAACAGTATGTCTGAAGTAATCTAATATAATTTAAATAAAATATAAAAACACGGTCTGGCAAAGAGCCTTAAATCGATTTATGAGTGTTTAATGAATAAGCAACTAAATAATAAATAAGTTGATGAGAACTTCGTCGCCGTTGCTATTAAAACCTAGCTCATTGATTCATCAATCTTTTGTCTAACTTTTTGCATAATATATTAAAAAAGGTATACTGTTATTTGGCTCTTTTTGTTGCACATCTTCACACGCTCGACACTATCGCGGCAGGATGCTTATATCTTATTATAAATATAACATATATTGATGAAACATTATAATTTAGTTTCTTGTCTTTTACCTACTTGACGCCAATTTTTAATACATTTTTTCGACACCAAATGCTTAGTTTCTGTTCAAACATCGGCAAAGCAACTAAATGGTACCAAATAGATGGTATCAAAGTTCTACATTTATTTATAGTGATATATTATAGTTCCAAGACTTATGTCAAAATTTTGTTTTTGGTTGAGAAATTACAATTTAAAAATACTGTTGCGGGAATGCTGACGCAACGTTTTGAGTTATCGGTACTGTAGTGCGCTGTGAACCACAGTTGTCCCGTGGTCGTCTTGTATACCGTACTACAGCACACCCATATATATTGTATACAGTCGTAATTAATAAATTTAAATAAGTTGTTCATAGACTTATTATTTCTCTCTGTACACATACGCAACCCCAGTAATAAAGGAACAAAGTAACGACCAGTTACAAAAGTGGTGACCCCGACGTGATACGAATATAAACCGTCTAGTAGAGAAAATAGATCATCACGTAAAATTTTTGTGCATAAAGATTTGTATACGTGCGATTATGTTTTTGTTCGAAATGACGCAGTAAGGAAACCGTTACAACCTCCTTACGACGGACCATATCGCGTCATTAATAGAACTGATAAAGTTTTTTGTGTACAATTGCCAGACAGACAACTTAGAGTTTCTATAGACCGTCTTAAACCTGCATTTATGTTAGCAGAGGATAATGTACAACCGGAAGTAGTAGATAATAGTGGTAAAACTGTCTGTCAAAAAGTTCAGAAAAAAGTAACTTTTCAAACAGCCGAACCCAGTAGCTTTGGTTATACTACGAGAACAGGACGAGTCAGCAAAAAGCCAATGAAGTATTTGTAACAATTAATTTTGCTGATTAGACAATAATTTAACTAGGACATTTGGTTATATAATTACGTGTTAATATGAAATAGAAAATGTATTATAAATTCATTTAGTGTTTGATACCTGTACGTCGTAGTTGATTAAATAGGAAATGGGCAACTTACAGACAAAGGACAAAGTTGTTGTTAACGAAAATATATCCAGCACAGCTCAAGTAGATAACAAGTTGAATATGATTGGTATCGTTATGATAATTATTATAGTACTACTGATTATAGTGATTGGATATGCATTAAAACGAAAATGTGCTAAAGGCGTCAGGAAATGGGTGAAGAAAGAAATGGTTGCTAGTTCTATAACCTTACCAAATATTAAGGTAGAAACTATGCAACCGCCGCAAATTAATAATGGAACGTCTGCACCTCATAAGTTGGTTTACTGATTATTTGATCGAGAAATCTTCGTGCATTCATGTTATTAAGTGTGTATGTGATTGAAATTATTTTGTAACGATTTAATAGTGTGTGTTATATTTTGCTATTCGGTCATAGAACAAGCTGCATGGTTTGTGTTGTTGGTGTCCGGCCACAACGATGTCAAGAAAGGATAACAAAATGTAACCCAAACATATTATATTATATGCGTAATATAAGAATAAATAATTGTGTTAAAGTCATGGTAAATTAATATTTAAGTACGCTGCTGATATCTAAATTTTAAATAGCGTGATAATGAATGTTACAACTTTTGTCGCTATTACAATGTTGGAATGTATTCACAGGCTTATCGCATAACAATACATAGCATAGTACTCATATTAAGTTGCAAACTGTTGATTGAGCAGAAAGATGATGTCACCTTTGGTGACAAAGTAAATTCACAAGAAATATTGTTTGATAAATATACTGATTAGAATTAAGATTTTGTGTTGTAAAAAAAAAATATAAATATTTTTTTTTAAAAAAAAAGAGGGAAATAGTGTTGCGGGAATGCTGACGCAACGTTTTGAGTTATCGGTACTGTAGTGCGCTGTGAACCACAGTTGTCCCGTGGTCGTCTTGTATACCGTACTACAGCACACCCATATATATTGTATACAGTCGTAATTAATAAATTTAAATAAGTTGTTCATAGACTTATTATTTCTCTCTGTACACATACGCAACCCCAGTAATAAAGGAACAAAGTAACGACCAGTTACAAAAATACAAACATTCTCTTTACCCGGGAGACCGAAGTGGAGATAATTACAATTAGCAACTTTACACCAAGATGTAAAATGTTAAGAGTCGAATAACGATCCAATTACATATTTTATATACGGATCTAAAAGGAATTCATTATAACGATTAATGAGTACCCTATTATAATATTCGTTTTATGAATAAACTATAGATACTCTATTATACAAAGTCTAACAAAAGGCTAATCGGGAGAATTCGATCACTGCAACGGACTTATGTTACACGGTTGTTACAGTTTTTTAAACCGAAGCGGCTTTCATACAAGTAATTTATTTTTAGTAAGTTAGAATATCGTTCACCTCGGTTTCGATTGTTTGAAAATTACGGTTGCGAATTTGTGTATACTTGTGTATTACTTTGTAACGTTTCATAACGGCAATCTAAATATTAACCCGTGAAGAAGGTTTTTTGTATGAATTTGATTTGTACTCTGAATTGTGAAATATTGAATACTTAATATATACATATATATATATATATATATATATATATATATATATGCCAAAATTATTAATTAATAGGTACAAAAAGCTATACAGTGAATATGTTAATCTATCATAATAATATCATAAAGTACTTTAGGTTACTTTAATATATTGTGTTTACATTTTGCAATTATTAATTGTTACTATTAATTACTTATTATCGATTTCTTACTGATTGGTTGTACAAGTTTATGACAAAGAAATAACAATGAAAAGTAGTATATTTGGGAGACGCACGAGTGTCCGAGATGCGCAGTGCTGATTTATGGTAATATTTTTCCTAGTTACACGTCACGTACAATATTTATCAGTTCCTGAAAATGGTTTAGTGAAATAATGTGAATATTTACTATTGCTTACAAATATAAAATAAACATTAATTAGTTTATTGGTGACAAAGTAACAATTTACAAAGCATTAAATTACATACCCACAACTCTATTTTTATAGTAAACTTACTAGTAATTTATTTGAATTATAAAGGGGTAAACGCTTGAATGGGTCGTCTGTTGGTAAGCGCCTATTGCCACCTATAGACGCCTCTAACTTAAGATAGACAAATGCGTTGCAGTACTTTGAATACTTTCTATTTCCTTCTGATGTAGATCGGCACAGAAATATAATGGAAAAACTTAATTGAAGTGAAAACTTCTTTAGCGGCGTTGTACACTTTTTTTTGTAATGGGTAAAACATGTTAAACTCGCATCAGGACAAGTGACCTGATCGAAAATTCGTAAGACGGATGAAGAGTAGGAGAGGAAGTATCTCCCTCTCTTTCTACGGCGCAGCTAAAATGTGTGCCTGCGCCTGCTGTTTCCTTTAGGTTTTGATGTTCGCGTGTTTATGTTACAGCGCGCCACGCGCATCCATGGATGGTGACAGCGTCTCGATAAATTGACATATTTGTGTACGATAGCGCAATAAATAAATATTGTATTCTACCACATAAATGATAGTACTTTTGTACTGATAATTAAAGCAATTCATGCAAAATTATTCCCTAACCATTCCAAAATATCAAAAATGCACAACGTTAATTTTCAAGTTTGAAAACTTGAATATTAATTCTGCCGGCACTCCCGGAATGCAACTCGTCTTTTTTTTATGATTACAAACTACTTCTTTAAAAAACTTATTAAATTAAGATATTATGAATTTGAGTTTAGATGAGGGGGGACTTCCGGTTACCTCACTTACTCTGTAAACTGCAATGAAAGACTTGCTGAACACTGAATATCTATGAAGCCGTGGTACCACTCCGGTCTAGCTCCCTATATGTAGCTTTTTTTTTTTATATCTCTCACAAAAACGCTGTAACAAAGATGGCAATACCTACAATAGGTATTATTTAATTGATTGAAACATTGAAAGTTAATGCCTACCTTACCTATCATCTAGCTCTAGTAATTCCAATTAATCAACTTCTGACTACTTGATCTCAATCTACTGGTATGTATATAGGACTCTTTTAAGCTGTACCACGGTAATAATTTAATTTTAATATTCCTTTATAGCTAGTTTGGTAGAAATTGAACTGAAACTTTTACGGTACCTCCAGCAGAATCCTACACGATGGCTTACAGCCTAATGCACCTGAGGTCAATTTACAAAATAACAGTAGACGGGATAAAAATATTGCTGCTGTAGTACATACTGCATTTCGTCAATAATCTTTCATTTACTTTTTCAAATCTGGCTTCAAACAATCATTCAATGTAAGTTATCAAAATAATCTACACACAAGTAATTAGAAGTGATTTTTGAGTCATCTTTGGAGATTGTTTTTATTCTATAACAAAGGCTAAAAGAAATATTAGAAAAAAAAAGAAATATATAAGCAGTCTCCTAG